TGGTGGAAAAAAGATAGATATAATTTTTGCCAGTTATATAGACGATGTCTCTCTCTCTCTCACTAACTATTTTAAAATTTTCAAAATAGAACTCAGATAGAAAAACACAATCGAAATTTCATTCAAAAACATCTTTAAGCCTTTAGTTATTTTTCATTTGTGGTAATAGTACCGTTCCCTGTATTCTGTATTTTAAGATGGTGGGGGGCAGTTGGTGCTTTTGTATGGCGAAATTGAAATTTGGAGCAAGCAACATTTATTTCAAATGGCAGGCGTTTTGATAGATATCATTAGCCATTTAGCTGACTTCGGGCTTCACAGAGGGAAGGTTCATCAGAGTAGCAGCAAGTCGAGGGGTGGGGAACAGAAGAACGATTCGCAGAAGTAAAAGAGGCAGACAAACACATAGGTAGAGAAAAAGGTAAGGTGAGTACTGTGAAAGGGGTCGAGTATGACAACCAGGGGGGGGGGGTCGTGGTAGTTTGAAGTCAGATGCCGGTTAATTGACTTTTTTGCCGTATGAGTATACGTTGCCCAGGGTGCACCACGTGGAGGTAAGTCTATCGCGCACCCCGGAGTAAGCAACATAAAAGTACCAGTTGATTTTCAAAATGAACGTTTGAAAAATCAACTAATAAAAACTGCTATCACCTAATGACACACCTTTCTGGGACTCGAGCCAGCCTAAATTCATGTGCAATTTTGTCTATCGAATTTTATGTACCTTTTTCCCTAATTTTCTAATATTGTTACATCATATTTTAGCTTTCTGGGGGAAGTAATTAATCAAAAAGAGTGTCCTAACAAATACCAAACAACTGTGAAATACTTAACAGGCTCAAAAAAATCTAGTTCAAACGGAAAACGTTAAAAATTTTTAAATGATTAGGTTGACTCATTATTTTTATCAGATAGAGGTTTAACAACTTTGTTAAGACAGTCAGATAATTGGGCTAACTAGCAAGAAATCAAACTATATTCATTTCTATATGACCCTTAAATATTATTCCTTAAATTATAAAGAATTAAAAATTCTTACTAGTTGTAAACCCTCAAATCAACTATTAGAAAGATTGCAAACAGGATTTTGCCATATAGATCAAAACGAAACACACTATGTATAAATGCAATAAACTTTAACACAACTAACCAATAATTAACCACTAATATAATAAATCTTATCTCACCTTGGTGAATAGTATTGGTCTTTGATGCGCTCATGAGTAATGACATCCAAGTAAGGACCGAATATGCTTTTAAGTTATTTTACAAAAAAATTATTTTATTAAGTCAAAGATCATAGAATGAAAAAAACTTTAGCATACAACTCTAACGAACAACCAACATTGCACTACACTACCCCTCATCGGTGTACTGATAAGACGAGGTGATTTCATCTTCTATGAGCTCTTCGGTTTGCTCTCCAATCACTTCACTTCTCATTGACTGAGAAGAATGATAACTTGAAGAATTCATATTTTTGTTGGCATTTTTCGTGAGAAATGAAGGAAGTAAGCTATTATTAGTATCAAAAATATCCCATTGTTCCGACGACTGGGATCCCGTTGAGCGCAAATTTGACGTACTGCCACTCAGTTTTATCGGTGGAAGGAATGATTTTCTAGTTAAATAGGTGTTAAAAATATCATTGAACTAATTTATTTTACTCATTTTAAGAGGATATATAAGAATTTAACTTTGAGTTGAGTTATAGCAATTTGTTTACTTTTTTTGGTCACCACTGGGTTTTGTAATGCCTTTAGGAGACAGTATAGGGCTTCCACTACCACTTCTATGGTGACTTCGCATATTTGAAATGATATCCATTCTTTGTCGGCTATTGGATCTTCGCGGATCAGCGCTTTTCGAGGATCTCCGGATTATTTTATTCTCTATACTAGGAGCGGAAATACCGCTGTCCCTAACTGGTTCTTCATAAGCAAACTCATTTTTGTTTTCAGCATTTAGACGCCATCTCATTCTGTACATCTGTAACATGCCCTCTTCACTACTTAGAAAAGCATCAAACCGTTGACATTCTTTTCGAAGCAGGGAGAGCAAAGTTGGATGCGTTTCACTCTCTTGTCTATACAAGAGCTCTGTTTGTTCCAAGTCAAATCCCTAAGAGAGAATTGGAGTTTAAGTTTAAAGTTTTCAGCTAACTCCGTTAATGAACCATCCGCCTGTTGAAGCAGTTACTGAGAGAGGTTTATCACGATTTTCCAGAGAAATGAGAAAATAGGCAACATCGCCGTAAACCTCACGCCATGGTGGAGATCTATACCCGTTATTTCTTTTAACTGTAAAAGCTGTCAAAAAGATCATGTTATAATTAACCAATTTCAATCAAAATAAAAGTCACAATATACTAAAATATCTGAAAAAGTAAACACTCAGGAAATTCATGAAAAATTTAAAAGACATTTTAATTTTTTTCGTTTTAATGACCATTAGCCTACCACCAGTTTCTCGAATATCATATATGATTTTATTTTCGGATTTATTATTCGCAAACGCCTTAATAAAATTATACTCTTTTTCAATATAAGCTGCCGAGAGAGGAGCACTCCTAGAACAATTAGGTAAAATATATATTAGGAACCTGTCTTTCATTCTTGAAACTTCATTTGAAAGTTGAATATCATATGTATGAAGGTCTGTTATAAGCTTAGTCAGTTGCTTTGTCTGCGTATCAGAATTTGCCCCGGCATTATCAGTTCGTTTAAGACTTTCAGCAATATCAAATAATTTCGATTCATCAGAAGACCATTTGTCCAAGTCAAATGCATTCCCACAAATGGAGGCATAAAAATTTTTATTTTCTACTAAATAACAAAATAGAATATGCGACAACCTTCCAGAAATTGTTTAATTTCAGCAATACTAAAATCTCCAGCATTTTCAATGAATACTTTCAGAGCTAGAAACGTATTTGCTGTTGCTTTAAAATTGCCACTCTTAAGTTTTTCTAAAACTGCGATGGGCTTCCCATACTTATCTAACTGCTTTGACGTAGCAAGATTGCCACTAAAAGTGTGACCCAAAAAAATACGATTACTTCGCATTGAAATTCTTCAAATCTCCGAACTTTATATGAGAATTCCATGACACTGATTTAGAAAATGGTATTAGCGAAACATATGGATTCCTCGTGACATATGGTCCAATAAAATTATAACATGATTCAAAAATAAAGCTATTAATATCCGAGAAGATTAATGTTGCCGTTTCTCTGTCTTTTGTATTTGACCACTCAGCCTGATTGCTGAGAGTCAACCCCATTTCATATATTCAATTTGGAACAGTTTGAAGTAAGTTTGTGCGATTCGGTGATTATGTTTATTAATGGACTAAAACAAATATTGACGTGATGCAAAAAATCATTCAAAATCTTAAGGTAGCAAACTGCATTAAGTTTAAATTATAATTATTTCAAAAATCATCCCTTTTTATATCTTATTAAATTTAATAACTTATCTTAGAATAATTACCTCATATGTGTGACCATTATAATATTATTACATTAAAAATTTGAATTCACTCATCTTGGAAAAATTTCTTTCCATCAATTTTATGTTTTGACTTTTGGGAATGTAATTGTCAACCTTGGAGAAACTTGACTCTAAAACTTTTAATGATATACAAAATAGCAATAATAATGAAATATTTCTTCGAGCTTGCATATCGTTGTCAGCATTCTGATTATTGGGGACATTTTTTCGAGCAGTCAACATTAGAATCGAACTATGCCCATCCAAGAAAGTTAATCATATTTCCTTTTCAAAATATTAAGAATATATATATATATATATATATATATATATATATATATATATATATATGAACGAAAATTAAGACCATGAGTTATGAAACGCTTCCTGAATTGGGCACTCCTAAGCGAATTCGATGAGATACTAGCGTATTGACCATTACCTTGCTCGTGAATTGAATGAAATGAAATCACTGAGAATTGAGCTATTGCGCATAAAACCAATCAATGAATCTTTTTATTCTATCTTCATCCGCGGTTTTTCAGATAAGTACTCATAAAAACATAGGTTTATTTAAAAAAGTAAAAGTCCGACAACCAAAGATTCTTTGGAATTTATATTTATAAAACTATAACTTTTACAAACGGGCAGGCGGGACAAATTCATGAAGGATCAACAAAAGTTTTAAATATGCATTTCAATTATTCCAAGAAGTCACAGGAATTTTATATCCAACAGGATCACTAAAAGAAAAAAACGTCATATATCTGACCTAAATATGTTTACGTTTAATTCATCTTCGGAGTTGGAGGAAGAGTGTGCTCTTTTGGAACGCTTTTGATAAGAACTACACGCGACACCTCTTGAAACTACACCTGGTGGACGCCACGCTGCCCGTACCCTACCATTTGAGGATTTAGAGCAATTAGACTCCTTTCCACTAGAAGTAATGTCAAAGAAGTCATACATAAAGATTACATACCGGGATAAATTAAATTGGCCCATGTTTCCTTGCATTTCTGACCGACAAGGACGAGAAATGCGAAGGTTTGTGCTGTTGTTATTCTCTTGAATATTTTTATTTATGTATTTTGCAGCCTTTAGAATTGCCTACGAAAAATCAACTGATGCAATGATCTGACTTACGTCAACTTTCTGAAATGAAATCATTACATCTTTTTCCTCTTCCGAAATTTTCATTGTGTAAGTCATCTAGAAGAAAAGGCGATAAATGAATTTTCATGAAATGTAAAGTAACGTTTTTTGCGAAAATCGCATTTCGCACTAGAAATACTACAACCTTTAATTTACCGCACGCCAAATTTTCTCATTATTTTCACTAGTTTAAACTTTTAGTTTATAAAATAAAATGACGTTTCAATAATTATGTATTTTAAAGTAAATTAAACTAAAATTAAACTACATTGGACTTTATAATATTTCCTTTTTCTAATAAATAAATAGGCGGTCATTTTTATCGAAAAGATTAGGATAAACCGGCATAGTTACCAAGGTATATCAATCTTCATTTAGGTTACAAATAACAGCGCTTCAGGGTTAGACGTATGTCACATCTACTTCTTACTCTCCTCTTGAAATTCGCAAACAGGTCTTTTATCGAATCACTTGCCAGTGGAGGACATCAAAATATATAGTAATGAGCCAGAGATTCAAGTAATTCATATCCATTGAGCAATATAGCTGACAAGTTAATTGATACCCGAATCAGGACTTGTATTATGAAGTTCCTTTGTTAGATGCAATTTTTTTTTCACGGATTGATGCCTGGAATTTTTTTGAAGTAAACAACGTAAATAAACTTAGATTACATGTGCGTACACTAATCTAGCTCTTATCGATGGCCAGTCATTTCAAATAGTCGGTCTAAATAGACATCGATTAATTATAATATCGCCTGCTCAAATATGGGACATCCATATTGAGAATTTGAAACAACTTTGATCAATCACGGTTATGTCTCACGCTTCTTTAAGAATTATCTAACGATTATCCTATATTTGTCTTACCCACTTTAAGATCTTTTACATAGTATACCATATGAATGATAAGTCGATTGTTATATCATATTCTCTATCAAGTATTTTTATAACTGGCTGCTTTTTTGCGCATATATTGCTTCACTAGAGTTTTTACAACTAAACGAAATTTTATAACAATATTGGAACGCGTAATGAGAAAGAAGTTACGAAAAGGCATATGTATAAAATATTTTATGCCAAGAATTTCCCATGTTTAAAGGATCTTTAAAATATACCGCTTTCTTCGACTATTTGACGCATTTGAGAATAATTGCATAGACTTTTAAAGTTATTTGTTGAAAGCTGTTCAAATTTTGCTTAAATATATTGAAAAGCCAAGTAACAGGCTGAGTAAAGATTATTAACAGCTCAACATAATTCTGACAAATTTCTATGGAGCTCTAGATTTAACGCAGGCAATTTATTACTCTACGTATATACGAAATGAATTTTTATCAAATTAGAGCTTCAAATAAACATAAAGCGATGCATTTTGCTTGCTCCATTTTCCTTCGAAAGAAGATTAATTCGAAAAACTTTAAACTTGCAAGCTCTTACACTTTGGACTCATGCTTAATTAATTTTTCCTTTTCCAATGATTTTATTTAGCTTCTTTACTTCAAAGAGCGTAAAAAGCAACATTTTACCAACAAAACCCCTTTTACCATGCTCACTCAGTACGCATCCTGACCACTTGCTTACATTCTCTTTCATCGTTTATTGTAAGACACAATAAATTCACCGGGGTTTGAACGAATGATAGCGAATTCTCCACTCCCAAATTCTCATTTATTTGAATTTTATTGCTAACAACGTGTTGCATTGAAATTTGGTGACTTCTGGTTGGATGGTAACCTTGAATACTGGTCTGGATAACGAATTCAAATACAATTTCTTAGATATTTTTGGTCAAAAAAAATACCCTGACTTCATTCAGTAATTTGATCGAAGTGTAATACTTGTAAACGAAAATAGATGCTATTTGCGGAAACGTAGCTAAACTAATGATAAATGTAAATATCGTCAGGAATCCGACGTTAAGAGGATTCATAACTAAAATTCTTGCATTATTTTGCAGATATTTTACAAATAAAATGAAAAATTTGCACAGTTATTCAAACTTTATTTTTGCAAATAGCTGTCAAGGTTTGTGAATAATAGCCTTATTAACTGCCACATGTGTAAATATCTCTCCTCCAATCAGATTAAAATATTCGCATGGGATTAATTGGAGATTCTCTAATAGTAGTGTTTTCACAGATTTTGTTTTTCACCTTCGCATGGATATTTTTCCTGCGAAAGATTTTTAAAGACAACGAGGTACATCAAAAGACCATCATTTTCGTTTTCTCAATCACATTTGCCCTATCATGCACAATGTTTGAACTTGTTACTTTCGAAATTCTTGATGTCTTGGATTCCTATTCACGGAGATTTTACTGGCAAATTATTCTGTTCATAACGCTTGCCGATGTTATTGTGGTTTTGCCGTATCTAATTTCTTATTATATAACGGCCAATTTTAGTTATCTTCCAAATAATTCAAAAATCCGCTTTCTCAGCTCATTTGTGCTTTTTCTTTTATACCTATATTTCTTCTGGAAAATCGGAGTGTCTTTTCCAATCTCTAGTCCACGTCACTCGTTTTTTTCCTTTGAGCCATGCATTGGTAGGGTTGGCGTTATAGGAGTTACTATTATGGCCCTTCTTTCGGGTTTTGGAGCTGTTAATTATCCCTATACTAGTATGAGTCTCTTCATCCATCCTGTATCTCAAGTTGATATTGATGCAAGTGAGAAACGCTTAATGCAAACCATCAACATGATCCTAGCAAAGAAACGTCGCCTATGTCTTGCTGAACTGGAAAATAAGGTAAGTTGTAACATCGTCTTAGCTGATCACATTAGTTGGTTTCAATGATGTCTGTAACTTCGTTTAGAATTCTACTAACGGTGGCGGACTTTGGGGAGTTATACATGCAGTCGGAAACAAGTTTGGAAGGAACAATGTTAATGTTCGGACACTTAAAGAAGAGGTATTCTTTTATACGTTCATCTAATTTTTAGATTTTGAGTCTAGAGGAAGTAAGTCGTCAACTTTTCCTGGAACTACATCAACTTCGATGTGCCAAACAGCGCATTGAATATTCAAATACCTTCCAGGGGAAATACTTTAACGTTCTCGGTTATTTTTTCTGCGGATATTGTATCTGGAAAATCCTCATCAGTATTATCAATATCCTCTTTAATCGTGTCGGTCTCCAGGATCCCATAACCCGTGGAATCGATATAGCTGTACATTATTTCGGTTTCAGTGTGGATGTTCCATTCTGGTCGCAGCAGATATCTTTCTGGCTTGTTGGCGTAATTGTTGTGACTTCAATTCGCGGTCTCTTGTTAACTCTGACCAAATTTTTTTACGCAATTGCAAGTACCAAATCTTCAAACGTCATTGTTCTTTTTCTTGCCCAAGTTATGGGAACATATTTCATTTCTTCTGTTGTTCTCTTACGGATGAATATGACAGCGGAATATCGGACAATACTCACTCAAATCCTGGGCGATTTGCAATTCCAATTCTATCATCGATGGTTTGATGTAATTTTTCTAGTAAGCACGGTATGCAGCATTTTCTTCCTCTATATTGCCCACAAGCAAGCCGCTGAGACTACCTCCGCCCAGTGTTGGAGATAACTTCGATTGGCACTCACGATAACATCTCTCTGACTTTTTATTTTGTTACTTTCGTTTGCCAATGAGACTACTTATGTTCCAGCACCCCCCTAATAAAGAACTATTTTAGTAATGGTTTGTTTTCTACGCTGCTAGTTGACAGCTGTTTTATGGAACGGCCTAACATATGGACCGCACAACTGAGGCTACAGCGTGCAAATTTCTCTTAGCGCTAACCAGACAATTAGACTTGTTCGATCTAAAATAACATTATCTGCTAAGACGACTTAAGCGTACTAGTGACTTACCTAGCATGCCCCTACGAGCCAAAATTTTTCGCCTAACGTACTCCATAAAGACGCCGATTTATAGCAATGATTAAATGATACCAAGCTACTCAAATTAGATAGCTAGATAGTCAATCACCTACTCACAGATAAGCTCCATTAACGAAATGATCATGACACTTTCTAGATAGGCTTGTTCGAGTTCAGTTGGACTCCAATATCAAAGTTGACACCCGTTACTTAGTGGATGTAACTGAAATACATACAGAGTAATGTCAACGGCAAACATTAAAGCCAGATTGCATTTACCACCGGTAAGGAAATCCCGAATAAAAACAAAAAGGCCATTAAAAGTGAAACAATACGCGTACATATGGTGACTGTACATTTACAAATTACTATAATTTAACCGCTTAACCTAATTCATGATATCTAGCATACATTGCTCGCTTAACATTGTCCTTGTAGTTATCCGAAGGAGGAGGACGTTTTGAAGCCTTCACACCCAATCCAACACCGGCTTCACGAAACTCCGCTTCCACTAGTTGAGTTCTTCCCTGATTTGCTTTTCCAAGACCCTGTCCAGCTTGCCAACCCATCTTAGCCATCAGTCGACTTCCAACATCTGCACCTCCCGAAATGCCGGTGTTGAAATGAGGAGGTGGTTGAGAGAAATCGGGTGGAGGGTATTCCATGGGATCATTATGAGGAGGTGTAGGCATTGTAGATAAATCTGCAGATCGGTCGAAATTCCTTTGGGGTGGTGGAACAGTACCGAATTTCTCTCTCCTTTCTTTCGCACGATCTCTGTAAGGTGCTCCGACAGGGGGAGACGCTGAAATCGATTGTTGTCTGTTAGCAGCCACCTCTCTTGCGTGGTTACTCGCCACAGTTGCACCTAACTGTCTCAGCGATTCAATGGTTTCAGCATAGCCCTTTGATTCTTGCTTCTGAGGTTGTGGTTGTTGATGGACAGGAAGTGTTGTCAACTCATGGAGTCCATACTTTGCACGAAGTTTGTTCAAGCTTTGGAGGTGAAGGTTAGAGAAAACACGATGCTTTTGAAGGGTATCAGCATCTTTAAATCCACGGGAACATAGGAGGCAAGCCAATTTTGTCCAATCGATTAGTCTGAAACAATTAACACGTAATAGGAAATTTCAAGCAAATGTGATTATCACAATTAAATGCACGTCTTTCAACTAGAAGACGCAAAAAAAACAAATCCCACTGATTACAAATAACCCATTTCTATTTTCCCCAAAACTTACAACCATATAGGCATTCAACTAATCTTAACTGAAAGGTTTTGATTTTATCTACTCTCAAATAAAGAGACGGATCTAGAGATTGAACTTTGAATGAAATCCAAGAATATAACTACTCGCTTCTTGAAAGCAAGCACATGTGCAGAAAAACGTAGTCCAAACGAAAACTAAACAAAGGGAAACTGACCATTGGTTAGATAACGACACACAGCGTCATTAAGTAACCTGGGATTCATCGACAAAAGATATGCACTTTCGGCCATATTTCACATTTCATAAATCTTTTAAACACTACCCTCCATATTAATTTGATTGGTCTATATGATACTTACCTCAAAGGCTTGTTTATACGTTTTCAAAACTTTGGTAGTTTTAAAATTTAGCATACTATGACTTATACACAAGGACCTACTTCGTTTCCTCAGCGGAAACTTGAGTTTCCAGATCTTTTTCATCAGTTTGAGGAATATCTTCGTCATCACTATCGTCCCCGCCATACTGAGCAACCAAACCAGCCGTGCTTGGAGAGTTGTTTGAAGCTGACGCACTAGTTGATGCTTGGAGCACAGCATAGCCCATATCAGCGGTCTTACTGCTTTCAGTTTGCTGAAGCAAAAAACGCATCAAGATTAGCTCTGAACAAATGGACCAAACAAAGCCAATTAGTACTTACGATTTGTTGTTGTTCAACTTTTGGAACCGAAGGAGCTTCCTTCTGAGAGTTCATACGCTTAGCCCATTTTTCCATCTCTTTGGCAATTTTCTGTGCATTCTTTTCCTTCTCCTTTTTATCTTTTTTCTTGGAAAGCTCTTCAGTGGCCTTAACTGTTTCAGTAGCTACTTCCGATTGCTGTTGTTGCTGTTGATTTGCAACCTGTGAGGCAGGAATGTACAAGCGCCTTGTTGCATCATAATGAAAGTATTGCTGAGTTAAACGATCAAAGAAATATCGGGTGTTTGGCTCGTAGAGTAAACCGGTCACCGGATCATAGTAGTATCGAATTGTCTCATCAAAGAGAAACTTTGTGGTATCAGGAACGGCTAAAAAATATCCAGTTAACAAAGAAAAAATGGTGCAACCAGAATAAAGCGAATATGCTTACGATATTCGGTAACTGCAGATGTTGCAGCATTAAACGGTATAGTTGGTGGAGGGAACGTGGCCAGCGAATTGCCATAGGATTGCGTCTGACCACCTTGCTGAGGCGGGAGACCAAGTATTCCCTGTGGATTATGTACTGATTGAGCAACAATAGAAGTCAATCGAGCTTGGGCTTGCTTTAATTCGATGGCCGCTTGTGCTACAGCAACGCCGGAGTTTGGATAAACTCCTGCAGGAACTGGAATTTGATTGGCTGGATACGCTCCGGGATATGAAGAGGAACTAGTTGGAGCCGATGATCTTACTGATATGTTATTTGAAGCAGTGGGTTCAATAAACGCACCCTCGGACTTTAAAGTGGCCATAATTGTGCTGAAAGTATCGATTTTTAGATTAAATGCAAAAGTACGAGCACAAGCGAGAAAGGAACGAATTATGTTCATCAATGATTCTAGACATTACAGAAATATAGGAGTAATGCAACAACTACTCACTTGAAGTTATTTTTTGCATATCCAACAGCAATCGCTTTGCCCTCGATTTCAAAAATCTTGTGCTCCTTCATAATGGTATCAATCACATTATAAGCGTCTGCCACTGTGGGTAGCTCAGCAACAGCAAAACGTGAAGAATTGTTACTCCCATCTCGAACAATGAAACAACGTTTGACCTGCAGACTATGCTGATCTGAAAATGCAGCTTGAACACTCGCTTCGGTAGTATAGGCGTCAAGACAACGCAGAATCAAAGCTGTGAAATAAAAGCATGAGAGAACACTCCGACATAAAGAGGAATAATTGCTTTCAACTTACTGTTGCATGGAGTTGTGCCGATAAGCTCAGAGCCATCGGAATTGTAAATGGAAGTACTTTGCCGAGCAGTGGGTCTTGGGTTTTGGCATCGGAAACAAACATCACGACGCTTGAAATTATGGCTTGAGCACTAAAGTGATATCAATCAACACCAATGTGCGGAGCGATTAGTTCAAATTTTAGAGGTACAAAAGAAGTGAAAGGGCAAAGACAGTTTGAGGGGGCACAATTTTACAAATTGATAAGGAGTAGACACCCACCCTAAGGCATTGCCAATCTCCAGAGGCCAGAGCTGATAGATTATTGCTGCCTCTTACATCGCGACGGCCAGAATCATTTCGACTACTTGAATCGTTTTGATTACGCGGGGAGCTGAAGTTGAGGCGCATGACATGTCGGTGGACATGTAAAACACCCTAAAAGGCGAAAGAGGGAATTATGCATCTTTTACTAAAAGCCACTAAAAAATAACCTTGAAAGTGGATTAGGAAATGGAATAATGCATGAAATTGACTCATAGATACGAAGCGGGTTTCGGCACACTGAAGGAATTACATTTTGAGCATCCATCCAATGAATGGCTTCCTGCGTGGAAGCGAACTCGATAAAACCGAAGCCTCTCGACACACCTAGTGAAAAGAAGACCCGACAAAATTAACATCAGCATTAAGCACTAAGGAATACAAAACCTCCCTCGGATGTGACTGACTATTTAGAAATGTGAACCCAAGACAGTAAGACCTCAAAAAGTTACGAAATCACCATAAAATAATCCCAAATATGATGAAATGGTATAGCACTTAGAAGAAAATCGATGAGACTGACCTGTTTGACGATCCCGAATGACACGAACATCAGCGAAGTTAACATTATTGCGATTAAGTTCCTCCATTATCTAAACACGACGTTCGACTTTAAAGAAAAAATGCATACTTCACGTTCATCGACATCTGCTGGAATTCCGCGAACCATAATGTTGGAAGTAGGCTCTTCTACGTTACCAGAAAAACGAGGATCAGTAGATCGGCTACGTTCAGATATGATGGCTTCGTCTTTGGGATCTGCATAATCAAACGAAACTCTAAACCCGCGAATTTTAATTTCATTCTAAACAAAGAGTAAGCCACAATACCAAATATTACCTGGGTGCTATGGATGAAATTTCGAGCTTCCTCGGGATGGAAATCAACAAATGCGAAGCATCTCGATCTATCCCTCATAAACCTCACACCAAAGTATCTAACGCTTTTATCATCGAGAGCGTTTCTCAGCTAAATTAAACCGATAAATTTTTAAACACCACTCTTACATCTCTTTCAGTGACAGATGATGGCATATCGTTAAACAGAAGAGTAGAAACCTGTGGACTTTCATTTGTATTGGACGTCTTATGGCTAAGAAATAAATGGATTAAATAGAAAATTACTTATAATCGTAGGAAGTGGGATATCCACCACAAAAACCACTATCTTGTGGATAATTTCCGTAATCACCCATCTTTACGATAAGAAGAGAAAGTGCACAATTAAAACAATTTATTGACAAGTAAAACAAATAGTCATTCACAGTAATTTACCTCAATACACATACATTTTAACGATTCTAGGTGCCTTATTAGTTTTGAATAAATAAGATTGTTTTTAATTACCAAATTTGTTTTCAAATATCCTCTTTATAACAAATCAATTGAAACTTGATTTACAGCATGATATTTGGTGGCGCGTCACTTGGCCCTTTTCTGTCGCGACATTAGCCACTTATGGAAGAATATGCGAGGGAACCATGGTAGTTCGATTATTTAATTTTTGTTGTTTTTATATAAATGTCTGAATAATACAAATATTTATTTTAAAATGGAATTCATAATTTGCTGTTTCGATTCCATTGATTAAATTCGTTGAATTTCCAATCTGTCGTTTAATCTTATCTATTGATTTCTTTTTTCTCAGTCCTTTTCGGATAGTCAGTGATTGTGGTGCAGCCTTCGCAATGGGAACTATTGGTGGAGGTATTATCCACGCATATAAGGGCTACAAAAATGCGCCGACTGGCAAGTTCCGCAAACTTTCCTCAGCCTTGGCTCAAAGCCGTTTAAAGGCACCTCTTCTGGGTGGCGCTTTCGCTATCTGGGGTGGCATGTTTACAGCGGTAGATTGTTCACTTGTATTTGTGCGTAAGAAGGAAGATCCCTGGAATTCCATTACCAGTGGTGCCATTACTGGAGCTGTACTAGCTGTTCGTCATGGTCCTGCGGCAATGGCAGGACAAGCTGTCATTGGCGGTGTAATTCTTGCTATCATTGAGGGTCTTGGAATAATGATGAGTCGTTTTGCCCCTATGCTTATGCGTAAGTTTGGATTTCAAATTCTTGCAAATTGTTTAATTTCTCAGTTGCAATTTTTACGAACTGTTGGTACGCATTTATACTCTTTAGTCGTTAAGGCAACTTTCACTTTAGTAAAGTGCTTGTTGATAGTAATTATCCATCCAGTGACTTCAAAATTATTTCCCCAATCCGTTTGTTTTAAGGATTTTCACTGGCAGACTTCTTTCGATGTGTAGTAACTTTATGGTTCTTCTGCAGAACACTTTTTGTTTGTCTTTATTATCGCTGTTTTATTAAATCGTAACATTCCACTTTACTAAAATATACATTGCTTATGCAATACCATTTGTTTTGATAACTCTGCAAGCTGTTGTTTATTACATTAGAATCATTCCTTCTTTAGCAACGTTTTTCGACATGTATTGATTACAAATGAATGCTATTTGCTTGTTTAGATCGACGTTCTGTAATTTTTAATCTTATCACTGATCCCGTACATGTTCCTATTCTAATTCTAATATTATTCGTTTCAATTGTCTCTTGATAAATCCGCTGACTGTTTAAGTGGTTGCAATGGTTAGCAAAATTTTATGCTTTGCTGATTTCCTAAATAGCTGCAGTTGCTAAAAGCCAACTTTTTGTCTCGTTATTTCCTGAGAATTTGAGAACTTTTGAATAAATTTTGTTTGTGATTAACTGAACAATAATCACAGTTTACTATAGTATTTATCTTGTGAAGAATAATAATGTAACCTTACCATTCTCATACATACATTCTTATACATCAATGAATGGCTCTGAAATCCTTTGAATCCCTATTATCTTTTTTATAAGCTCGTTCCCTTTACTTTTTAAAATGTACTTGTTCTCGAGTTTGCTTTAATTCTAAAGTCAACTTCAATAAGGAGTCATTAATCTCTATTTTGTAACAAAATCCCTACTACTATTACGTTATTAGTAAGATGGCCTTTTTATTCTTGCAGAACAACAAGAAATGCCCGAAGAACAGCCCTCACCGTCTGACAGAGGAAGTGGCAGCGGGGGCGGGATCTTAAATAAATTCTTCTCCAGTGGTGGTGGTGAAGCTGCAGATTCTGGAAGCAGTTTGTCTTTCTCAAATCCTACTCAGTCACAAGATAGTCAAACTTCTAAAAGCGGTGGATTTATTTTCCAATAGTTGATTAATCGCCTGGTAACCTCCTCCCTGTATATTTTTTCATGCGCCTAGCTTCCTTTTCACCCAACGGATATTTGTAGAGCCCTCGAATTTAATATCTGTTTCTCCCTCTTCTCCCTGTATTCACATTGTGAATAACTAATGGTTTACCAGTTTATATTCATTTCTTTTGTGCTATATTAATGCTGAAGGTGCCATTGGTTCACTTATTCTCTTTTTAGGTACCTCTAAATGGCTGATTGACTTTTCATTTCGGGTATTCACAAATCACGTAGGTTTTATCATTTCCACCTTTTAAAAGGCTAGTACATAAAAGAACACAGTGGTTGTGATATTTGCTGACCAGTTTGCGAATAGTCAGGGGTGAAATGGTATGGTATGATAGGGCTTTTGTTCATCTGGACACGAATCCTGGTGTGAATGACCAATCGTATTGGTTATTGTTGGCCGATAAGAGAGGTGGAAGTGATTGTCTTCTGTGTGCTCGTTCCCTTTATCTTATCGGCTTGAGGACAGCGTAATCCGAATTTGCCTTCTTAGAGGCAACTAAAGGCTCGTTTTAAGGGTATTAGAGGCTAAATAGTCGGTCATGACGCAACTAAATATTTTTAATAAAACAATGAACTAACATAAATCGCATCAGCAAAGATGCCTAGGGTGCTCAACTAAATTAGCTAAATATCTCACAAAACTATACAAGACCATGATAGTAGAGGCAAGAAATAGGAGATGGGAGAGGGATAGAAGGGGAAAAGGTGTTGATAAAGAGAAGGAATGAGTGTTATTGCAGAGGGAATGGAGATTGAGGCGGAGGAGCCAAATTAAGGTAATCTAAATGGAGTTAACTGTTTTAAGTTTTTGTTCATTTGAAGAACCACTAAAAATCATTGCATGACCATTAGCACAGTGTGAAGGAATGAGTAAAAATGTGGGTCCGATATAATGTTGCAAAATCATGGTTTAAAGTCGACTAGCTTGTCATTGCAGCATTTTAACTACAAAGTTTCGTACTTTGTTTATTTTAGGCTTGATGTTTGAATATAATAATTTTATTTACTTATGATGGGATGGCAAATCGATTATTTTTAAAAATCTGACAAAAACTCACAAAATTTACCCTTTGTGTAATGAATTACCGACTAGCGGATTTCTGCCCTCTTGTCAAGATATACAAGCCAACCAATGAAGTACTTATCTTTACAATTATTGGCTAAGTACGAAGCCAATCATTTAGCACGTATCCAATTAAAAGCAAGCAGTGATTTTCTTAATAGATGTGGGTAAAATGCTCGCACCCACAAGCTGGAAAATTGTGGCCTTATAAAATTTTTACATTTACTTCTTAACTTTACGTCAACCCAAAGTAGTAAGACATGTCTATTGAAGATAACAATATTTCAAATCTGAAAGTTGAATCATTCCAACATCAATTCTTTAGTATTTCAAAAGTAATTATTTCTGTCCCCAAAAATAATGATGGTAATGATGATGTTTCTGGGTGAAAATGGTGTTTCTTGTTAAACGGAAACGTATGGAAACTGACCTTATACACCTCGACGAACCCTAATGCGGCAATAGAGGAATGGAAGGGATTAGGCATATTGAATATGTTCATAAGGTATTTGCATGTGTCATCTACTTACTCAAAGAAAATACGAACACTCTAAGGCTATAACAATTCACCTCTTTCTGTTCTCACTGTCATATAATGAAAAAAATATTAAATTAGAAGGATTGACGAAAAGTTGTTCAGCAATCCATGGGATAAATTTTGAATCTTGGAAGGGGAAGTAGTGAACTGCCTATTAAGCTGAAAATTACACAATCCGAATTATTTGAAGTATGAATTCTAATACTTAGGAAAAAGAAAAAAAAATGATAAGCTTTTCCTTTACCATTGGGCCATAATACAACTATCAGAGAGAATGGTATTATTGAATACTATTCGAACGTTCATGAGTTCTATTTATTTATACCATCATGTAGGCTTCAATAAGCGCGAGCGACCGAATGTGTACTTGCTTATAATGACCTCTCAAAAGAAAGCCGAGGAAATATTAGGATGACAAAATACAGGGATGCAAGTATTAAGGGTCACGGTGCTTTCCCACCCTCTAATATGCTACAGTCTGAAAGATAAGCTTCGTCTGCTTCATGCATTTGTAGATAACTGGACTGAAGAGAATTGAGTAAAGAGATTGACCTTAATGATAGTAAATTATAAACAAAGTGGTCAAGTAGATTACTAGAGTCAGATGGCCAACGGACAGAAAAGCATGAAGTCCAAAATTGAAAAAAGTCTTAGTTTCCTATTTTAGTCTCATTTTAATTCACTAACAATTAAGTATAAAAGCATTCAAGAATATCATTTGCTCTATTGTGAAAAATATTCGAATCGATGTGGTTTTCTGAATTTTACAAAACACTGATAACATTTGTTTTGTGTACTTAACTATTTCCAACCTCACTAGTAACCATAATCATAAAGAGCGTGTAAAAGGAAACCCCGTCAACTCTGAATTCTCCCAGTAACGGCATTGTGCACTTTCTTTCGACCTGATTAATTAGTTTACTATTTGGCAGCGGGAAACAGGTATTCCTTTCAACCGAATCAAGATAAGAATATCACCACAGTAGAATGATATGATTCATTTAAAAAAATCAATTACGTTGCACCCGATTCCTTTTACTGCCTTCTTACTTCTGCTAGAGAAACCTTTAAAGTATTAGGCAGGAGAGAGAGGAGGAGGAGGAGGGGCAAGAGTGTCAGACTGGAGGTAGAATACGAAGTCCACCAAGAATAGTTACCTTCCTCTCTTCTACCAGTCTCAGACAATCGGGTAATTTACAGTTTAGTTGGCTTGTTTGGTGGGAAGGGAGATAGCCTTTCCAACTGCCAAACGAAAACGGTGTCGAGGGAGAAAATATTCAACAAAAAAGTGTAAACCGTGAGAGAAAAAATATCTCTGTGCCAACACACAGCACATTTCGAGTAAACGAAGTCTGGACTAATGGTTCGCTCTCCCTGGGCTGTCAAGATACCGCACGACTTGTAGGCCAAAATCACGAAAGACAGTGATGGTGGTGGTGGTGGTGTGGCCACCAAAGATGAAGCAAAATTGGAAGGAGTAAGAAGAGAAGGAAAGGATGGTAGGATAAACCATTTCTGACATGGTTTCTAACTCGATCGACTTCAAACAACCCAGCATATATGCAGAGAAGGCGCGTGCTTGCTTGCCAAATTTTGACTGTTTGGACACCATTACCGCACACATTAATTAGCTTCGACGCGGGTTAATTAGATGTGTGTTTGTGCGAAAATGAAGTCAAACTTTTGTTTTACCAATGACCTTTATCACAATTCCATAACACTGCATGTGTAATTTTATGACTTAAAATTTATGAAAATTCGTGAAGGTATATTTTTCTAACAAGAGAAATATGAAAACAGTTCGTGCTTCTACTACCTTGAGAAAGTCTCTATCAAGCAAAAGTGTTGCTGTATCCATAACCAGTGCAGGTTCACCCCAGAAAATATGATTTGTGGGTAGGATGTAGGCAGAGCTTTGAAATTCTTTTATTAGTCAGCCTAAGGGAACGTGAAACCTAAGGAAAAATCTGGTTACTGCAAAGGCAAGAACACCGTTGAGGCAGCACTTCATGATTTGAGGGGTTTTGCTTCTCGCGCTCTAATACACTTGATGAAACAAAAGTACAATTGCATGCGATCAAAGTGAAATACTGTAATGGAAAACCAGTTATCAACTATGTAAATATTCATGCATTTAAAAATAAGTTGGTATTTGTTAGAGAAAAGTATTATGAGATGGACTTTGGTGCTAAATGTTGAAAGCATTCTTTCTCTTTCGCTCGGATTCTGTTACTAAGACAACAATCTTGAGCTTAAAAGGCTATTTTTTAATGATGCTCGGATTAATCTGAGTGTGTGCTTTTCTAATGATTTCTCACCATATCTACATTCAGACAAATACTTTTCAACTTTAATAGTCCTTTGGTAACTAGGCATTTGCTCGGTTGATTAGACGTCATACTTTAAATAAATAGATTATAAGGGAAAGGAAATTGTACTGACTCCTCAGATCAGAGCCACTTTTTCACCAATCAATTGTCCTAATATTTACCTTTGATATAATGATTAGACATCAATCATTGTCAATGTAAAGCATTCTTTAGCAACTTTTAAGCATAATACATTATCACATTTGATTTTATTGTCCTTTTAACCATATCTGATTATTGACTTGGGAAGAAATAAAGTATGGAGCTTTGGAAGAAAATAATTTAAATAATGAGAAAATATGGTCACGCAATGATGCGTGGGGCACCCTGGGCAACGTATACTCATACGGCAAAAAGTCTATTAATCGGCATTTGACTTCTGACTTCAAACTACCACGACTCCCCTGGTTGTCATATTCCACCCCTTCAACAGTACTCACCTTACCTTTTCTCTACCTTTGTGTCTGTCTGCCTCTTTTACATCTGTGAATCGCTCTTCTGTTCCCCACCCCTCGACTTTCTGCTACTTTGATGAACCTTCCCGCTGTGAAGCCCGAAGTCAGTTAAATGGCTAATGATATCTATCAAAACGCCTGCCATTTGAAAAAATATTATTAACATAATTCCAATGGGGTACGGATAGACTTACCTCCATGTGGTGCATCCGGGGCAGCGTATACTCACACGGGAAAGTCTATAAACCGACAGTTGGCTTCTCACTTCAAACTACCATCACCCCACTGTATGTCATATTCGAATACTTTCCCAATGCTCACCTCACCTTTTTTCTACCTTTGTGTCTATCTCTTTTACATCTTTGAAACACTCTTCTATTTCTCCCCCCCCCTCTCTCGCCTTTTATCACTTTGATGTTCCTTCCCCTCTATGAGGCCTAAAGTCAAGTAGAGGGCTAATGATTACTATCAAAATGCCTGCAATTTGATATAAA